GGTGCCCGTAGAATTGGACCCCCTGGAACAATGTTTTTGAAACCTTGTGGGTATCTTGGGGAGAGTCTCCAGCAGCTACCCTGCGAGTTTGGAGCCTCTTCCCCCAAGCCCCCTCCCCTCCAGCCCCCAGAATATACCCTATGTTTTCGCCATTGACTTCAATGGCCCTTAGGATATAATGGGGCTGAAATTGACATTCAGCTGGCGGAAGGCTGGTACTGCTGAAATTGACATGCAGGAGTCCTTATGCCGGCCAAAATTGATTCTGCCCGATTCGGCCGAATCCGAATTGGCCAAAAAATTTTTTTGCACACCCCTAATCTGGATACATGGAGCTGTGGTGGCTCAAGTGGTTAAGACGCTGAACTGCAGGCTGTGGAAGGTCAGTAGTTCAGCAGTTCGAGACTCGGGTGCCCGCCTGATGGAGTGAGCTCCCATCTCTAGTGGGAAGGTAACAGCGTTCCGTGCGCCTTGGTGTTTAGTCATGCTGGCCACATGACCACGGAAACGTCTTTGGACAGCGCTGGCTCTTCGGCTTGGAAACGGAGATGAGCACCGCAACCCTAGAGTCGGATTCGACTGGCTTTCGAGCAAGGGAAACCCTTTACCTTTACCTTTAATCTGGATACAGTATATCGAACCTACAGGAGACAGGCATCACTTGAACCATAATGAATTCAGACTGATGGTGGTTAAAAAAGAAAGGAGGGAGAATTTTAAACTCCTTTCTGGGGGAAAGCTGTCGGCCTGTGGAGCACCTGGCTCAGTGCAACTCCCTCCTAAGGCAGAATTTGGTCATAAACCATAAGAAATGACAGCAGCTTAAGGAGACTAAAGGGGTGTAGGGCAAAATCCACACACAAAGGTCCCCTGCAAAGGATGCCGTGTAAACCTCCATGCGTAAATGGAAGGGCTTTAGCCCCTTGTGCTAAGTAAGAACATAAATATCCAGGGCATTTCCTGAAAATCTGATGGGACAGAGAGAAGCAGCAGAAATCAGAAAGGGCAGTAAAGGATGAGTAGAGGACAGTGTGGCTTTCTGTGCCAAAGAGCCATATATTCAAATAAATCAGAAAACTGTCCTCGCAGAGCTGCTGCAGGTGGAAAGGTAAAGGAAAAGGTTCCCTTGCTCGAAAGCCAGTCGAATCCGACTCTAGGGTTGCGGTGCTCATCTCCGTTTCAAAGCCGAAGAGCCAGCACTGTCCGAAGACGTTTCCGTGGTCATGTGGCCGGCATGACTAAACACCAAGTGCACGGAACGCTGTTTCCTTCCCACTGAAGCGGTACCTATTTATCTACTTGCAATTTCTTGCTTTCGAACTGCTCGGTTGGCAGAAGATGGGACCAGAGACGGGAGCTCACTCTGTCATGTGGCGCACTCGGGTCTCGAACTGCTGAACTACTGACCTGCAGGTAGAAAGACCAGGCCTCAAATGTGACTTAGCATCAGGCCTCAGACATAACTACCTCCTCTTCGTCACAACTCTCTCTGAGGGTGATCTTGAGGTGGATAAAGACATCAAGGCAGTCAGCAAACCTGTGCCATCACTGGAAACTTTATGGTAAAGTCACAGAGTTCCCAGCAGTTCCTAGAGAGATGTGATATCCCTTCCATGTTTTCCCTGGAAAGGACATCACAGTGTTACTTACGGTCACCCCCATGCCCTGCTCTCCAACTGGTTGCCAGGCCAGGCCTAGTAACTCTAGTTCTACACATTTCCCCGCCCCTAGCCACCAGATGGTCGTGCCCTGTGCCACATGTTTTCTAGACAATGCGTAATCGCCTTTCTTTCCCCTGTTTCAAGAGGCCATAAGAACTGAGGGCCGCGACAGAAGCAGGGAAGGAGCTCTCAGAACGAAAAGACTCTTCCATTCCGTGGAGGGTCTGGCTCCGCTGACGCAGGCAAGAGATGGAATCCGTGAGAGGGATCTAATGTACTTATCGCAGGCACACATCCACACGCAGAGACGCAAGCGCTCACTTCGCCGAAACATCAATTGCTCAGTTCTCAGGGGAACTCTGACAGGCATCAACAAACTTTGAAAGCATCTGTTTTGCACAGGTCGGAACATTACAACTGCAGAGGAAGAGGGATTGGCGTTTTGTCCCCCTGCTTGCAAGCGATAAAGATCGTCGGTGTGCCGACTCCATTGCAGGAGGCATGAAATATGACCCGCTGCCCTATGAGACACCACAGGTGGGCCTTTGAGATAGCAGTGAATCTTCCCAAAACAAACAGCCTTTGTACTTCCCATACAAAGTGCTTTCGTATTTGGCATGCAGCTGCATCAAATCCATCCCAGGAGCACAATGGGAAAGGCCCTCTGTGTTATCAGCCTGGTCACCCTCCCCACATGACCCCATGGGGTTTAAAGGGGAAACATCGCGGCCTCGGTGAACTGCACATCTCAGACTTCAGAAAGCTGCAAGGAAATCGTTGACGTTCTTGAAAAACGGCAGCATCGTAACAAGGTTCCCTCTAAGCTGTGGAGTCCTGTGAGCAAAAATTCTACTTTGTGAGCTACTTGCATTAAAGTTGTGAGCGAGCGACAAATTAGTGTGCTCTGGAGCCATCCTTCCTGAGCTAAGGCAAAAATGTGTGAGCCGGAGGCTAAAAAGCTGTGAGCTAGCTCACACTAACTCAGCTTAGAGGGAACACTGCGTATGACTTGTATCCAACGCGATTGCCTGCAATTTAGCCGGATGTTTTATGAAATGCCTATTAACCCGTGGTGGAGGAAAGGGCCCCCAAATCGAAGCCAATTTCTGGTGACCCCGTAGGGTTTTCGAGGCAAGAAATGTTTGGTGTAGTGGTTAAGTATGCAGCCTCTAATCTGGGAGAACCGGGTTTGATTCCCCACTCCTCCACTTGCAGCTGCTGGATGACCTTGGGCAAGCCATAGTTCTGTCAGAGGTCTTCTTGTTAAGACCAGTTTCTGTAAGAGCTCTCTCAGCCCCACCTACCTCACAGGGTGTCTGCTGTGGAGAGGCGAAGGGAAAGGGAAAGGAGATTGTAAGCCGCTTCGAGACTCCGAGTGAAGGGCGGGGTATAAATCCAATCTCTTCTTCTTCTCATTATATCATTACTAGGAGTAAAGCCCGTTGTGAAAGCAATACAACAAGCTCTAGAAAGATGGGATGTGTAACGAATGCATAGGCTGGAAGCAGGTTAAGTACATAGTAGGAGTATGTAATAGAAAGGCACAAAATGTGGAAGTAAAGTCTCACATACCTTATGTTACACAATACCTGGTGTCCAAGGTCACACAATGTGGGCCAGAAAATGCAGCACACAGGTCTCCGTGGAGTCATTTCTACAATTGGGCACCCTCAATCGCTCCCTCTAAGCTGTGGAGTCTTGTGAGCAAAAATTCTGCTTCTCAGCTAACCATCAATGTACCGTTATCTGCCCCTCTGACTGCAGCTTGTCTGAGGTCCCACCCCTCCTCAAACCTCACCCTCTCCAGGCTCCACCCATCAAATCTCCAGGAATTTCCCAACCTGGAGTTGGCAACCCAATCTCCTTCCCAGCCAAGCATTAACCTGCCATTATCTGCCCCTCAGATTTCAGCTTTCCATCTCCTCCCCCTTCCCTCCTGGAGATCAGCTGTAATTCTGAGTGATATCCAGCCCTCACCTGGGGATTGGCAACAGCCCTGTGAGGTAGGTTAGGCCAGGAGTGTGTGACTGGCCCAAGGTCACCCAGCGAGCTTCCGTGGAGTG